CCTATTTAGGATACCACATTACATATATTAGTCTTCACGTCTTCTTAGGCTCTTCTTGACTATGGTTCTTGCCTTGTTTTTGATGACTTTAACAACTGTAAAGAGGAGTGGTCTGGTATGTACAGAATTTCCTTCAATTTGGGTTTGTCTGATGTTCTTCCTATGGTTACACAGGGGTTATGAGTGTTTAGGAGAAATACCACAGAAGTGAAGGGCCATTCTTACCACATCATATGAAGGGTATATATACCATGCACATAAGTTATCATTGAAGATGTTAACATTGATCTTCTGGCTGAGTTAGGGTTTGTCATGTTGCTCCAATGTAATGTTCCTCTTCCTCCTCCTTGTTCCACTCTTTAGAAGTCACTCTGTATAGCTCACACTTAAGAAGTGGGAAGTTATGCTCCCTAAAGCTCTTACTCTTGTCTTTTTTAATGTAATACTCTCAAAAAGTACATCTCAATATAAAGAAAACAAAAATCCTCACAACTGGACCTATAAGCAGTATCACAATAAATGAAGAAAAGATTGAAATTGTCAAAGACTTCATTTGCTTGGTTCTACAATTGACGCCAATGGAAGCAGCAGTCAGGACATCAGACAACGTATAGCACTGGGCAAACTGGCTGCAAATGACCTCTTTCAAGTGCTGAAGAGCAAAGATATCTCTTTGAAGACTAAGGTGTGCCTGACACAAGCTAGGGTATTTTCAATTACCTCATATGCATGTGAGAGTTGGATAATGAATAAGGAAGATCAAAGAAGAGTTGACGCTTTTGAGATGTGGTGTTGGTGAACAATGCTGAAAGTACCACGGACGATGAAAAGAACTAACTGGAGAAAGTGCAGCCAGAATGATCCTTGGAGACAAGAACGGCCAGCCTTCGTCTCACATACTTTGGTCATGCTGTCAGAAGGGACCACTCCCTGGAGAAGGATGTCATGCTTGGTAAGGTGGAGGGTCGACAAAAGAGGGGAAGGCCCTCAACGAGACGGATTGACATGGTGGCAGGGGTGATGGGCTCAAGTATAGTAAGGATCACGGAGCTGGTGCAAGACCGGGTGGTATTTCATTCTGCTGTGCACAGGGTCACTATGATTCGGAGATGACTCAACAGCAGCTAACAACAACAACACTCTCAAAAGCCCTATAGGTATAAATGTTATCCCTATTTTTACACAAACTGAGACTTAGAGAACTTGTTTAAGGTCACAAAGGTAAAAAATGCTAGGGTTAGGAATCAAACCAAAACTTTCTGAATCTTAGGCTAAGTGGTCTTTTCACTATAATACAATTTCAAGAGCACAACTCATAAACAGCTAAATTTCCAGCTCCACGTTATTCAACCACCAGTCTTTCTCTATTTCATCCATCAGGTTCATGTTTCTCTAGAAGCAAACAGCCATTCTTATTAAGGAGCCCTTGTGGTACAACTGTTAAGCAATAACCAAGGGTTGGCAGTTCAAACTCACCCACTGCTCTATGGGAGAAACAACCTGGTGATCAGCTCCCATAAAGATTACAGTTTAGGAAACTCTGTAGAGAAGTTCTAGTCTATCTTAGAGTCACTATGAGTTGGAATCAACACAACAGCACACAACAAAAACAACCCCTTGTCATTAACTTACTCAACTTTCACTCTTAGACCAAAGCTATGCTATTTTTTTTTTCTGATGTCTTTTTTAACTCAGTCTCAGAAATAACTTTCCACTTCTCTGAACCTGACTTAGAACTACTAAGAAACTAACTACTTAGAAACTAGGTGAACTACCTTTCTCAGTGTTACTGTTTTGAACTGCTATTAAGTCAGCTCCAACTGACAATGAGCTTATGAGTAACAGAAAGAAATGTTGCCCAATCCTGAGCAATAACTTGGTGTAATTAATGAAAAGAATCAATAGTAATTTTATAAATGCAGAGAAATGGAAGTTATAATACAATGGATGACAGCTCAGACTCTGATGACAAAAAGTTCTGAGATCAAATTTCTGCTTTATCATCACCACTTTAACCTTGGAGACGTCGCATACCATTCCCAAGCCTCATAATTCTTATCTGTAATCCAGAAACTAATTTTAATCATTCTGTATTAAAAGAAGTATCTTTGCACTTTTCCAGTGAATATCTGCAATATGGCACTCTATCACTTACATAAACTGAAAACAGTGGCTTAGAGATGAAATTGGCATTTACCAAATTCAGATTATTTTATACCTTTGATAACAGAACAGTAGAGGATTTAGTTAAAGAAGGAACAATAATTACATTGAAATGTGCACTGCTTAGACTAAACAACAGGTTATTCTGAAAAAATAGAATATATTTTGTACTATTTATCTCTAAAGCAAATACAAGAAAATTTCCCAATAAGTCAAGGGTACACTAAACACATTGTATTCCTGTACTCACCAATACAACTAATAAAGGACTTGCTGAAAATCTCTGTCAGAGGCCTAACTATCCTTCTTCCAGAATCTGACAATTCTTCATAAAATAAAACAGCCTAGCTATCCAAGGGCAATTAATCTATTACTCTAATACTCAAGCCAAAAGCAAGAGAGAAGCAGAGAGGAAATTTCAACTGGAAAATATTTTGAAATAATTGACCCAGATGACAAACTAAACTTAAGCATATGTCAAGTGCTGCAATCTGCACAAAAGCACATACATATGCCAGAGGATATTAAGAGCTCACACAAACCAAGGTGAAATCTCAGTTCTGAGTAGAATATATATATATCCCTGAATCATTTAGAAAAGATCCACAAAAGAAGTTAAAGAGTTCTTTCATTAACTCAGAGAAAAAGTGTTCAAAGCCTTCTATCAAAAATCTTTATTTTGGGGACTAAGGATAATTACCACAGTGAAATGTTTTAGGGAGTTTTTCCTTTCAATATATCTCAAATACTTGTGTTTCTCAACTGGCTATGATATTTCAGTGTATACCTACTTCTTTCCTAACCACTTTCAAAATGTGAAAGATTTGTTATTTCAAAAGCTCAAATTTAATTATAACACTTAAGTCCCTTGGGGAAAAAAAAAAAAATGTATTGTGGAACTAAAAGGTAACACTTTTCTTCATAGAAAACTAAACTAGAAAGAAGAGAGTTTTATAACCAACTTCTTGGACTACTTCTCCGTACATAAGCTACTTCAACTCTCCTCATAAGCATAAGTTAAATCAAAAAGAAAGGACTAATGAAAATGCTGGAGAAAAACAAACTTTTTATGTTCTCAACGTTTTATTTTAAACAATTTTAAACATATATGAAAGTTGAAAGAACAGCAAAATGAACATACATTGCCCATTAGATATACTCTCCACCAAGACTCAATACTGAACAATCTGTCAAACTACATAAATTCTATACTGAATAAAAATCCATATTAAATAACAATTAGTACCTAAGATATATAATAATCTTGAAGCTATTACTGAACTCAATTTCTTAAGGTAATTTCTTAGCTTCACTTATTTTTGTGAGCTAAAAGAACTAAAACTTAATGAAAAAGCTCAAATTACTAGTCTTATGGCAAGTAATTTTACATAAACGTTGTTGTTATGTGCCATCGAGTCAGATCCGACTCACAGTGACCCCTCCTTGAGTTTCTGAGGCAGTATCACTATGGAAGTAGATTGTCCTATCTTCCTTCCGAGGAGTCGCTGGTAGGTTTGAACCACCAGCCTTCACATAAATAGTGTGTAAGAAAAAACTTTCAAAGAGTCTTCATCATTTTCCCACAACGAAAAACAACTAAAAGTGAAACGCCTTAATTTCTGAAAGGTTGTATACTCAAAAGTCTTAATGAAAATTTTTAATTAAACTAATTTATCCCAATCTAAGTTATCCCAGGACAGGTGAGAAAGCAGTCCTGGTAGTATCTGAAACTATTGGCTTCAACAAAAACGAAATACTACTTTGTAAAAAAATATAAATGCTCTTCTTTAAGATTCAGGTCTAAAAAATTGTGAGTTAAGTCCCCATCAAGTATGTCTTAGATTTCCAACAAACAAACAAACTCACTGCCATCGAGTGGGATCCAACTCACAGCAACCCCTCCTTGGGTTTCTGAGGTGGTATCACTAAGGAATAGATTGCCCAACCTTTCTTCCAAGGAGTGGCTGGTGGGTTTGAACCTCCAGCCGTCTGGTTAGCAGTCAAATACCTTAGCACAACGCCACCAGACAGACAAGAAAAATTCAAATACGTGAATATACAAAATAAGAATAAAAATAGAGATGACAGCAAAAAAAAAAAAAAAGTCAGAAATGCCAGTATTAATGACCAAGCCCATTCCAAGAGATAAGAGAACAGGAACGAAAAATTCAAGATGATGTCTCTTGAAATGTAAAATTCACTCATTACCCCATCCTTTAAACTGAAAAAAAAAAAAAAAAAAAATGCCACAGAACTCTGCAGCAGCTATTAAGTGTAATTGATTACTGTAGAAATTCTTTCTCTGTACCTTCATGCTATAATACCTTCCTCCAAAGAATAGATAATAGAAATATGCAAATGCTAATGGTTGTGTTGAAAATACTGGTTCTTAAAGAACAGACAGACTTCAGACACATATATACTCTGACTATAGAAAGATGTTTTAAAAAATTTTAGATAGAGTTTTATGGTATATAGTATCTAATTTATTTAAAAATTCTAAGCCTATGGAATAGCAAATTCACAAACATTTTTATAATTAGGTCTTGGTTAAGCCAAAGTCATTGGTACAATTAAAAAATGTAGAAACTAGAGATCAATTCCTGTTACACCTAAGTGTAGGAAACAGTGAGAATCAAGGAGCTAAATAAAGCGGTCTTCTCATTATCCACCATAGTTTGCTGATTATGTGCACTAATTTCTTTTCTCTCTTCTGTTTAGTGCCATTAACCTCAAATAAAAATCCATTGCTCTTTAAGATGTCTTTACATTTTCTCCTGAAGATGGGAGGGAGGCAGCAGGGAAGAGAAAAGCCATTAAAAAATTTAACACATTACCTTTATAGCTAGGAAATTAAGTCCACTCTCACTGGCCAAAGCCTTTGCTATCATTGTTTTAGAGCATCCAGGCGGCCCATATAGGAGAACTCCTTTAGGTGGCTGAATACCCATCCGGATGAAAGATTCTGGATGTTTTAAGGGCCACTCCACAGCCTGTTTCAATTTCAGTTTGATATCTTCCAATCCTCCTATATCTGACCAGGATACCTGAAAAACAGAACATTTTCTAAAAATGCATTTTGCTAAGACAAATAGAGGTTCTAAAATGGAGGAAAAAAGAAAAACCTATCATTTACTAAAAATTGTAAGCAGGTATAATACCATTTAAGAATTAAGAAGATCCTAAAAACAATGCCAATAATATCAAGTAAATTAAGAGTATATAAAATGTGAGATCCATATTATAGAAATACCAAGATAAATGTGGTTCTTCTCACAAGTCTTGTGTAAATAAATATGTAAATGATTGAACATACTGTTAAGTGTACTGACTACCTATTGCTGTTGTGAGTAGCTGCCATTGAATTGATCCCAGACTTATGGCAACCCCATGCACAATGGAATGAATCCTGAGCTAGCCCCATGATTGGCTGCAGATCAGACATCTGTAATCCACTGGGTTTTCATTGGCTGGTTTTACAAAGTAGATCATCACGCTTCCTAGCGTGTCTTAGTTTGGAAGCACCACTGAAACCTGTTCAGCACAATAATAACAGCAAACCTCCACTGACAGACAGTTGGTGGCTGTACATGAGGTGAATTGGCCAGGAACCAAACCCAGGTCTCCTGCATGGAAAGCAAGAATTCTAACACTGAACCACCAACACATCATCTAGATGTCTTTAAAAAATGAGGTTTTATCTGTCTGTAAACGGTTTAAATCAGTGATCCAAGGTCTAATCTTTTGTTGTTAGTCACCTGAGTCAATCCCCAACTGATGGCTGCCCCGTGCACAACAGAACAAAACACTGAAAGTCCTGCACCATCCTCATGATTGGTTATGGACCAGACTGTTATATATAGTTTGCAGTGACTGCTTTTCAGAAGTAGACCTCTTAAGTCTTTTTTCCAAGCTCCAATTAATGAGCCCTGTTCAGCATCATAGCAACACTTAAGCTTCCATAGACAGATGGGTGGTGGCTGTGCATGAGGTGTATTGGCAAGGATCAAACCTGGGTCACCTACATGAATGGAAAATTTGACCAATGAACCACTAATGGCCTCAAGGTCCCATCTACACATCTAACTTCTTTCTTAGAAAAATTATTCATACTTCTGTAGGTCCTTATGGAACATATAAGGAGCCTTAGTAGTGCAATGGGTAAGCACTCCACTGATAACCAAAAAGTTAGAGGTTCAAACCCACAAGCAGCTCCATGACAAAAAAGCCCTAGCTATCTGCTTCTATGAAACTTTCAACCTAGGAATACCTAGGAAGCAATTCTACTCTGTCATAAAGGGTTGCTCTGAATTGGAATCAACTTGCCAGCACAAAACATCATTATCAAGAAGGTACTCATCATCTTTTGTCTTTGGTATATTAATAAAGCACATTAAAATTTTGTTACTTTTTCTAAACTGAAAAATAATTCCAAAACAAAATTGTTGTTGTTGTTGTTATGTGCCATCGACTCAGACCTGACTCGTAGAGACCCCTCCTTGGGTTTCCAAGGCAGCATCACTATGGAAGTAGATTGCCCCATCTTCCAAAACAAAATAGTTCTTCATATATTCATTTACTTAATAAATACGTACTAAAAAGCAACTGGTGGCATAGTGCCTAAGGCATGTGACTGCTAACCAGAAGGCTGGCGGTTCAAATCCACCAGCCATTCCTTGGAAGGAAGGTTGAGCAATCTACTTCCGTAGAAACCTCAGAAACCCAAGGAGGGGTCACTACGAGTCAGGTCTGACTTGATGGCAGTGTGTTTGGTTTTTTTTTTTTTTTATAAGAAGCAACTAAGTACCAGATAATGTACATAAGAAACAGAAGAATGAGATAGGAATCAAGACTTTGAAGAACAGGCACATTAATTCAAAGAAGCAGAACAAGCCTTTGGGAGTTCCTAGGGCCTTAGGCACTTGACTGCTAACCAGAAGGCTGGCAGTTCAAACCCACCAGCCACTCCTTGGAAGGAAGGTTGGGCAATCTACTTCCATAGTGATACTGCCTTGGCAACCCAAGGAGGGGTCTCTATGAGTCGGGTCCGACTCGATGGCACATAACAACAACAACAAGAAAGGAAGACTGTTTCCACCAAGAAGGCAAATCTGAAAGCCAAGTCTTAAAGGATGGATGAGATCTGGAAATGGGAAAACAAGTATCTAGTGTGATAGAGGTCAAAACATGAAGGAAGGTTCAGAATCAAGGATGTATGAAGACAGTAAGAGGAAAGAGATTTGAATGAAAGAAAAAAAGAAAAAAAGCTTAAGCCAGATAGCAGAGACACCTGTAAACTATAGTAAGGAGTTCAGGATCATCTTTGTGATCAAGTCTTTGAAGAATGATAATCTAAAAACTGAGATTTACTCACATTTGGAGAAGGGAGAAAGTGTGTGGAGAGCAATAATGGACCTAATGCAAACATACTTTGAAAAAATATGAAAAATGAAACACTGGGCTTGAACAAAGGTAATCAGCGGCAGATGAAGACGACAAACGGGAAAGGTTACAAATCTATACTTGAGAGTTTTGAAGGGAACACTGCGAAGAATGGGGATTCCAGAACACTTAATTATGCTCATGAGGAACCTTACATAGCCCAAGAGGCAGTCATTCGAACAGAAAAGGGGGACAGTGTATGGTATAAAATCAGGAAGGGTGTGTGTCAGGGATGCATCCTTTCATCATAATTATTTAATCTGTATAGTGAACAAATAATCCAAGAAGCTGAACTATATGAAGAACAATGTGGCATCAAGATTGCAGGAAAACTCATTAACAACCTACACTATGCAAATGACATAACTTTGCTTACTCAACGTGAAGATGACTTGAAGCACTTACTGATGAAAGACTACAGCCCTAAGTATGGAATACAATTCAACATAAAGAAAACAAAATTTTTACAACTGGGCCAATTAGTACCATCATGATAAATGCAGAAAAGATTGAAGTTGTTAGAGATTTCACTTTACTTGGCTCCACAATCACTGCCCATGAAAGCAGCAGTTAAGAAATCAGACAATGTACTACACTGGGCATTTCTGCTGCAAAAGACCTCCTTAAAGAGTTTAAGAGCAAAGATGTCACTTTGAAAGCTAAGGTGTGCCTGACCCAAGCCACTATATTTTCAACAGCCTCACAAGCATGGTGAGGCCTTGGCCTTGGTGACAGAAATAACAATGGAGATTGCATGACAGAATTTTGCTAGACCAACAACGTATTCATTGCAAATACCTTTTCTCAACAACACAAACGGCAGCTATACATATGGACTTCACCAAAGGGAGTACACAGGAATCAGATTGACTACATTTGTGGCAAGAGGCGATGGAAAAGCTCAATATCTTCAGCCCAAACAAAGCCAGGAGCTGATTGTGGAATGGACCATCAACTGCTCATATGCAAGTTCAACTTGAAGTTTAAGACAACTAAAACAAGTCCACGAGAGCCAAAATATGACCGTGAATACATCCCTCCTCAATTTAGAGACCATCTAAAGAACAGATTTGATGCATTGAACACCAATGACCGAAAATCAGAACTGTCGGATGACATCAAGAGCATCTTTCGTGAAGAAAGCAAGAGGTCATTAAAAAAATAAGAAAGTAAGAAAAGACCAAAATGGATGTCAGAAGAGACTCTGAAATTTGCCCTTGAACAGAGAAGAGTAGCTAAAGCAAATGGAAGAAATGACAAGATCAAAGAGCTAAACAGAAGATTTCAAAGAGCAGCTCGAGCAGACAAATCCAATTACTATAATGAAATGTGGAAAGACCTGGAGTTAGAAAACCAAAAGGGAAGAACATGCTCAGCATTTCTCAAGCTGAAAGAACTGAGGAAAAAACTTAAGCCTCGAGTTGCAATACTGAAAGATTCTATGGGCAAAATATTGAATGATGGAGGAAACATCAAAAGAAGATGGAAGGAATACACAGAGTCACTGTACCAAAAAGAACTGGTCGATCTTCATCCATTTCAGGAGGTAGCATGTGATCAAGAACCAATGGTACTGAAGGCAGAAGTCAAAGCTGCACTGAAAGAACTGGTGAAGGATAAGGCTCCAGGAATGGATGGAATACACACTGAGATGTTTCAACAAACGGATCCCCAACTGGAGGCACTAACTCTGTTACGCCAAGAGACTTGGAAGATAGCTACCTGGCCAACTGACTGGAAGAGATCCATATCTGTACCCATTCCAAAGAAAGGTGATCCCAAAGAATGTGGAAATTATTGAACCATATCATTAATATCTCACCCAAGTAAAATCTTACTGGAAATAATTCAAAAACAGCCGCACCAGTATATTGACAGAAAATTTCCAGAAATACAAGCTGGTTTCAGAAGAAGATGTGGAACAAGGGATATCATTGCTGATGTCAGATGGATCTTGGCTCAAAGCAAAGAATACTAGAAAGATGTTTACTTGTGTTTTACTGACCATGCAAAAGCACTTGATTATGTGGATCATAACAAATTGTGAATAACACTGAGAAGAATGGGAATTTCAGAACACTTAATTGTACTCATGTGGAACCTGTACATAGACCAGGAGGCTGTTGTTCAAACAGAAAAAGGGAACACTGCATGGTTTACAATCAAGAAGGGAATGTGTCATGGTTGTATCCTTTGACCATACTTATTCAATCTATACGCTGAGCAAATAATCCAAGAGGCTGGACTATATGAAGAAGAACGTGGCATCAGGATTGGAGGAAGAATAATTAACAACTTTTGATATGCTGATGACACAACTCTGCTTGCTGAAAGTGAAGATAACTTGAAGTACTAACTGATGAAGATTGAAGAATTCAGTCTGCAGTATGGATTATACCTCCATATAAAGAAAACAAAAATCCTCACAACTGGACCTATAAGCAGCATTATAATAAATGGAGAAAAGATTGAAATTGTCAAAGACTTCACAATGCTTCACATTGGCTACAATTGATGCCAATGGAAGCAGCAGTCAGGACATCAGATGAACAGCTGCAAAGGACCTCTTTCAAGTGCTGAAGAGCAAAGATGTCTCCTTGAGGAC